GTATTTGTCATCTTTCTGCTCAGTCTAAAAAGCAGGAAAAACTGACAGTAAATGCTTTAAAAAATATTAAAAGGCAGCAAAAATGGCCCACAGGTGTCATTAAAAAAACCCATAAGTATCAAAATTTTCAAGCTGATCATGTAATTTTGAGGATCTGACTCAGATTTTGTACTGTTTGTGGGGTGGATGATGTCTGCATTTCACAGACACATTCCAAGAACTGACTAACACTTATAATTGGGCTTAGGGGTGAAAAATAGAAGTACTATGAGGTTCTTTGCTAGAAACCATCAAAACTCATTTTTGCTTTATTTCCCAAGTCAAAAAGAGCGAAAGATTCAAGTGAAATTTTCATAGCAAATTCTAAACCCTGCAGAAGCAAAATCTCAACCCAAGCTGAGTTGGTGCCAAAATTCCCATTGGCTTCACTGAGGCCGAATTCGGATCAATTCTTGCATTGAAGAGTGAAACAGAGAAATACTCACACAAACAGAATAAACACATTTGCAAATTTACTTYCCCTGCCAAATTATCTACTGAGACAATTTCTCTACCAGTTGTTAAATTTACCACGATGTGAAAAAGGTTCCCTGGGTGTAAAACCCGAGACTCCATAACTGAGACTTGTGTGCTCCAAGTGAAACGGAGCATACCCTGCCCTTCACCTCTCAATGTTTATTACRTTGTCAACCCAACGATTTCTAATTTCATAAAAAAACAGTAAGAATTGCCCCCAACATCAAGCTACAGTGATTTTTTTTTTTCCTCTCACCCTCTTCTATTTCTCAAGATACTGGAAAGATATATTAAGATAATATAGCATGCAAATTAAATTCTACAAAAGCCCAGCCAAAAGGCTGCTTTAAAAAGCAGCGGTATGCAAAGGCGAGGACAGCTCTGTCCTCTCAGCCTCCCCCAGTCTCACCCTGAGAATTTAAACCAAACCCAAATTCTTTTCTTGGCCCTGACTTAAAGGGAAGATTTATTTTTTTTGTTTTGCCAAGCAAAAACAAAAGTTTCCATCCTAGTAATTTCATTATTTCTTCTCTCTGAACACACGCAGGTTAACAATCAAACACGAAATCTCATTTAATCACATAAAGAAAAGAACAAGTGATGGGTTTCAATTGCAAGATACTGACTTGGACATCCTAAATTTGTTTTCAGTCCAGTATCCAACTTCCAGCTCAATGCAACACACAACATTTACGTCTTTAAAAAAAATTGTATTTTTAGTATTGCCAAAACACACATGCACTTTTACTTTCTTGGGAGAAAAATGTGTCTCTTGATTTATTTCCAATCTGTGTGCTCTTGCCAGCAACTAAAATGCTTGAAGAACCCAAATGAATAATCGTTAAGAGCATCGGCAATTAAAGCTGCAAATTTTAATCAATACATCTATTAATACAGATATATTTATCTTGGCTAGGAAAAATGTGCACATTTTCAAAATCCTAAGCATACCTGGTCTGTTAAATTATTTGTTTCTCAGACTCAAGGAAATCCAATGTCTGTGGCAAATATATCATCAAACAGTCTTTAGTCTTTTTTTCACTTCCAGTAATTTTTGTGGGACTGATTCTTTTTTTTCTGTTCTTTCCCCAACTGCTGGTTACTAAATCYATTTCTTAACTTTCAATTTTCTTTTGTTTGTGTCATCAGGCTGCGAAACCGGAGGTCACTGCCAAATCTAAACCACGGCAGYGTGAGATAGGCTCAAAATGTGAGTCATCGTGTATTTGGAGATTTGGGGTTTTTCAGTTATCAGCAAAGCACATCTCAAGCCCTGAGTCCAAGTTCTTATCCACTGAGTATCTCACGATTTGCTAAAAGCAGACCTTCAGGTAGAGTTGCCAAGATCAAGAGACCCCCAACAGGATTGCAGGAGCCCACTGTCATTTAAACACCACTCAGGACACTGTGTCCCAGTGTGGCAACAGGATGCTTAAATTAATATTTAAATACTGTGACTATTTAATCAGGGAATAAAGAAGGAATAGAGGAATTATCCACGAGGCAGTAACAGATTAGCTACACAGTACATACTAGATGATTTTTCTCCATCTGTTTGTGGTGGTGGGGTTTAGAGGGAGCATTTCCCTCTACCAGCCCCTGTACCAGCATCCCCTCCTGGGGCAGGCAGGGCCATGAAGCATTTTAGGAGGAGGAGCAGCAGCCCCAGCARGCAGATCCCTCCCTGYTCCATGCAGAKCTCCCCAGCACTCGYRCTGGGCTCTGCTCCCCGGTGCCCTCRCCCAGCTCAGCAGGGATGAGCAGTGCCTGTTGTGTTCTTGTTATACATGAAGCCTGTTTGTCACAAAAAACCCAGGTGACTGCTAACTGCTGTGGCTATTCAATGAGCCATCTATGCAAGTGAAGCCCAAAGATGACTTGTTCATTATTTAAGCAAACTTTTGAAAAACGGGCACGTTCCCCCCACCCTTGGCATTTATTCTGTGTGTGGTCAGCAGTAGGTATCACCTCGTCAGCATGGCCCCATCTGACTTCAGGGGGTGTGGGTGCTTGTGTGTGTGCAGTTTTACTCAAAAACTCTACCTCCAGCAGCACCATTTCCTTTCAGCAACAGATTTTCATTACAGGGATGCACTCGGGGGTGTTACATCCAAGAGGACTTCCAGTATGTTTCAAACCGCAAAAGCACCAGGAGTGAGAAGGGGAGGGAAAAAAAAAAAAAAAAAAAAGACTGGGCAGTCATTTGAATCAGTGAGTGACAGGCTAGGCCAGCTCTCTGTATACATTAATAAATTAGAATTTTAATTGTGTCTCTGACTGCAGGAGCTGCTCCAGTACTTTAATACGTACCAACAATTGGCTATGTTATGGAATCCGCGATGTGGCCTTCACTGTTGACCTCTGCAACACAATTCCCAGTCTGACTACGGAAACTGTTTGGTTTGATCCTTTCAACTTATTTGAATCCTGACAAATAAGCTCACAGCTGAAAGGTCAACACAGTCATATTTCATCCTCTGGAGCTATTCTTAAGACATCTGCACAACAAAGCAYTTCTTTTAGTACCTGACACTGGACCTAGCCAGCACAATCTCTCATTAAAAATGTCCCTAGTGGAAGAGTCTATTAAAAGGCATATGGATCAGCTATGGATTTACCAAATAAAATATTTTTGAAAGCATTAATGCAACGCTTTGGATTATGGCTCTCAACGCTGCCAATAAAACGTATATTTGCCCAATGACAAAATGCTTCATACTTTCCAAAAGAATAATAGCCCGGCTGTAAAGCAYGAGGTGTTGTCCAGCAGCCGGAGCGCAGGGGTGGGAGCCAGGAACTCATGAATCTTAATCCTACCTCTAAACCCAATTCCCTGTGTGATCCTAAGTGAGTCGCTTAACCCGCATCCYTCAGCTTCCCAGTCCAGAACTGGGATAATGCTACTTACTTATCAGACTTTCCTTCTGGGGATGTTTTGGAGATTAGTATTTGCAGAATGCTTTGAAGATGAAATCACTACACCAAAAGCTCGACGTTGTCCACACTGGGCCAAGGGCTGCAGTTAACAGCTATTCCTCACTCAGGCAAAACTCCCCTTGAAGTCCCCATCAGCTTTATTTGGTAAGAACCACAGAATTGAGTCCTCTCACTTTACTGTCAAGGCCTCTAGCGATGTTGRCTTTACCTTCCATATTCTACTACATATTTAAAGAGCCTAGGATCTGTATTTTTGCAGGAAAATAATCTGAAGCGCATATAAAAGGCAAGAGAAGCAGCAATGCTGTCAGGGAGCTCATGGTGATAGTATATCAAACTTTAAAAAAAAAAAAAGTAGAAAGAGCAAAACAGACATGAGTTTGACAACGTGCTATGACAACAAGAAGGAAAAAAAAAAAATCCGTAAAGAATTTGGGGCTACAGAGGCTGAAGCATCAGATATAGAAGAGCGAGATAAGATAAATGTCCCAGCTACAGGGCTTTGTGCAACTGCAGCTGAACTGCTGCATTCAGGACCTTATTATCAAAAATCCACTGACATGCTGCAATTGCAGAGAGCGGTAATAAAAGCAATAACCAGCTGCAAACCAGCAAAGTGGTCAAGGGTCTGGAAGTGCCATTTTACGAAATACATAAAGAACTAGATACATATAATTTGCCAAAACTGGCAAGTACATGTTAGAATCTCAGATGTTTGAGGAGTGTGAACACGAGGCAAGGCAAGGRACTGACTCAGTATTTATACAAGCAGTATTACTTGGAGCAAGAGGATGGAATTAAAGTGGAAAGTTCCTGAGCGTGTGCTTTGTTATGGAAAACTATCCGAAGGAAAATAATAGCAGTCCCACCATCACTTGGGATTTCTAACATTAGAATAGCAAAAAAAAAAAAAAAGGAAAATGTGATACATGACCTAATAGGTCTTTCTTGTCTTTAACTCCCCGTGATTTATCCCACAAGACTAGCAGAATGTACTCCAAAGCCCCATATGTGTGCACACATCTTCTGTTTGGGAATGCTATATTGGTTTTAGCTCTCTGAATTCATAACAGCACAAAGCCCTCTAATATTTAATTTTATTTCTGAAGATGCCCATAAATCAGCAGACAATAAAAGGGTAAAAAACACACTGATGATATGATATCCTAGTATTTCCCAATATCCTTGACACAGCAAATCAACGGTTTGAGTGAACACAGACTACAAATGGAACAGCAATCAAACAGAAATGGTAATGCAAATCTCCTATGCACACTGACACGGTAACAAAAGCTATTCCATTTTGTCATGATCCAGCCCTACCAGACGCTAATAAAAGTACACGCTCACAATTTGTAAACACGCCGTAGGTGGGACTTTCAAAAGCACCCAGCATTGATCCTCCTGCCACTCAGAACAGCCACAGCCACTCTGTGGACACAGGGAGGAAGCTCCTGAAGGCTCCATCCCAGTGTTTGCACGGAAGATGCATTTATTCAGCTTTTACAAGCCCCAGACCCTCAGGGAGGCTCACGGGCTCCCCTTACCTGAAGGGCTGGCTGTTTGTCATTCCTCTTCGGAGACTTTAATCCACTAACTTGTTGYTGCTGCTGCTGCTGCTGYTGYTGYTGCTGCTGCTGCAGGAGAAGCTGTCGCGCCACCTGGAGAGCCTGGAGGAAGAAAGAGGTTGGAGAATTGAATTCACAGCCAGGAGGGCATGGGGAGTGACACAAACAGCGTAGGGACAAGGCAATCCCTGCTCATGGGGTCCTGCTCTGCCCCTGATGCACATCCACTGAGGAAAGCAGTGGCTTCCACAGAAATAACACCTTGCATGCAATGGGGTGATCTCCTACCACTGATTTCCCACTTTTACCRTGGAGAAAAATAGCAGCAGCTGACGTTCATGCCCTGGGTGAGAGCCTCGAGTAACCGCAGGAATCCTGGTGGTGAGCTCCATAGAGTTATTTCTGTGCCCCTGGAGCTGCTCACAGCCCTCCTCACTAATGGGCAGGCTCCATATATCACTGTCTGCTCCCCTGAGTGCCAGAGAACATCAGGGAAGCTTCTGGAAGGGCATGGTGGGAGAAAGAGGAGAGGCAGCAGCATGTGCTGAAGGCTAAGGAAACTGCAAGGAGCTGGAGAGAATGCAAAGAAAAGCAGGGACAGCTTTTCACCTCACCAAAATCCAGAACATGGACTTTGATGGTTTTTATGGGTCCCTTCCAGTTCTGGATATTCTAAGATCCCTTGAAAATCACTGGTGGCTCATGATGGACCAGCTGTGGGGACTCACTGGGAGGGGCCACAGCAGCAGAGGGACAGTGTGACAGTGGAGGGGCAAGGGACTTGACCCTGAAAGCATGAGCAGGTGGGATGTTGGGGGATTATTGAAAAATGCAATGCAAAGCAAAGGAAAAGAATCCCTCAAAACCGGAGCCTGCTGCTCTGCAAGGCCCCATTTCTCCATCAGGCTGGGAAAAGAAAGCAAGAGGAGATAAAAGACGGAGAGCAAAGATGAGGAGCAAGTCCCTGTCCTGGCTCCTTCCTGCCTCCCCAGCCAGGGGACAGCAAGGATGGTCCTGCAAGATCCCTGTGGCACAGCTGAGGCTCTGCTGGAGAGACCCCAGCCTGCTGCTCCCGGAGGATGCTCCAGCACCGGACTCGGGACTCCTTGGTCTCCTTGGAGACGTTCAGTACATGTGTAGGTGGAAAAGTGGGAAGGCTGAAGRCTTCATTAATGTAAAACAAGAAAAATAGTCCCTTTGCAAGATGCCTACATGGAAGGAGGGAAAAAGCCTTCCCCACTCCTACTGTGTATGTTCTCTGAGTGATTTAATTAATACCTATTTAATTAAGAAGTCAGATATGCTTCAGGTTTCACTTGCTCCTCCAAGTTGCAGAGTGTTTAATCTCAGAGCAGAACTGCTGGGAAAGGTTTGATATCAAGGGGTGTAAAGTAGAATCCAATCCCCCCCACCTCATCCCAGTAAAACCTTGTTGTTTTATGGCCTAGACCCCTCTTTTTCCTTTCAGAGAGACACTGGTCAGCCCAGCAGACTGAAGAACCACCTCTGCTGACCAGGGCAAGCGGGCAGGACACACCTCATAGTGCTCTGGCAGCAGGCCCTCCTTTCCAATTTAATAACAAGTCTCCACCGGATCAGAAAAACTCTCTAAGGGTGGATGCGATTTCCAGCAGACCTTGGTACRGTGCAGGTAAAATTAGATTTTGCATTTCAAGCTGGTCGGTGCTCAGTGCACCCGGGACATCTCTAAATTGGTCCATGACCCTGCAATGGGTGCAGGGAACTGCTGGGTCTGGATCTGGGCTCACACACACACAACAGCCACCCCACCATGGTACAGCACCAGGAACCAGAAAACCCTATAGCTACCGACTAATACAATGCAACAAAGGAAACCATTATGCCAAAAGCATTAAGGACGGTTAAAAAACCCTTATTTTTATTGAATTAACTTATTTAGCTGTTAAAGCATCTTCAAGGGTGGGCAGAGGGAGCAGAAATAAAACCTGCAAGACTTAAGGGGATGGGCAACAAATACTCACCTATTTAGCAGGGGTGTTGTATGGCTTATTTAATTAATGAATACTTGTAAAGCACTCTGAGTTGCTCAGACAAGAAGCTCTATACAGTACAAGCGCAACATATTATTATATATTATTAAGACTGGCTCTGCAGAAGAATAATTCCAGGTAAATGTGCAATCAAATGATCATTTTAGTTCCCAGTAATTAGATTCAATAGGCCAAAAAAAACCACAGAAGCCTTTCTTTAATCATACACTAAACAATCAGAACATCCCTAACCTTTCAAGCTACAGCCTTTTTGAATAAAACATCATCAACTTATAGATATTATTCCAAAAAGAACCAGTCACCATATGTGTTGTCTCTTTGAAATACAGTTGCTATAGCAGACCCTGCATGCATTTCATGTGATATGATCATATTCTATCCGTTCTGGCAGCTGAGAGGTTGCACAATTAAATTGGCTGCCAGAAATTTTTGAAGATTCYCAGAACAAGTAGCCATGCAAGAAATGCCTGCTCTCTACTCGAGCTGGCCACAGAGCTCCGTGCAGCTTGGTGGGGTGGCCACTGCCACCATAAACCCCTACCATGACTGACCCCACACCAATGAGGTTCTCTGTCTATGGGGACATGGCAGAACTCTGCTGGGGTGAAGCCAGAGCTCTGTCCCTGTTCCAGTGTAGCTGCACAGCACCCAAATCCCTCACTGTGAGGGTCTCCACTCAAGGTGACATCTACACCACCCCTTTCCGTGTCTGTTTGTCACCTGTCCTGGTGCAGACCTGGTGGGACCAGAGATGGCAACAAGGAGGGACCAGCACAGAAGGTGGAGAAGGGCAGGAAGGAAAGGATTAGAAAGAATAAAAGTGGGCTTGAGGGAGCATCAGGGATACAAGGAGCCAGGATGGACARGAACATCAAAGGGAAAAACAAGGTAGATGCAAGTGAGATGGCAATGTGCTGACATTCCAGGGGATTGCAGCTTGAAGTGACATTTCCCATCTCTCCTCTTCAGATTTCGCTTTTTCACTTACAAATAAGTGACAGCAATAAAAGCTGAGCATCAGATGAGCTCGGGTTTAAGACATGCAAGGTTGTTTATAGCTCAGATCTAGTTCTTACTGAACATCTTCATCAAGTAGCTGCCGGTGGCATGGTGAACCCAGGGATCTCACATCCCTCTGACTTTTCACATCTCCCTGCTCAGCCTTTTCTCCTTCCCATCYCAGACCAAATCCTGTCCTTGCCACTTTCAAGCCTCACCCATACTCCTTACAGGACACATACAAGAAACATGGCTAGCTCAATCCTGGACACACTGACCTCCTTCCTCTCACACACAAAGTATTTCAAGCCTGTCTGGAGTCTGCCTTCATGGAATTACTTTGCTGATGTCAGTTTAAGCCTGGTGGACACTCGTACAGCCCAAGCCAACAACCTCTACCCCTCCCCTGGTTCCAGGCAGTGCCACTCCTGCACAGAGCTCATCCCTGGATGCTGGCGTGGGAGCCCTGCTGAGGCTGCTGGTGCTGCTCAGTGCTCAGGCGAGGATAGACAGGGAAATTAATTTGAGTGAAGTCAGTCCCACAACCTTCATCAGCACGGAGATTCGCAAGCAGGCCTGTACATTAATAAAGCTTCCTGTGGGAGTAGATGTTGCCTTTGATTTGCATGTGAATTCAATGCTAGTGAGAAGTGCCAGACTGTCAGACATGGAGACCAAAGTCTCTTATCTTTCCAAAAGCTTCTGTAGCAGTTTCCCCACATTTCCTTAATCATCTGCCTTGTCCTCAACTTACTGAACAGGCAGTAGAGAGTAAAGCTGGATTTGGTTCAACTCCTGCTGCTGCCAAGTCCTGAAACAAGGGTGCCAGGACTGTTTACTGCTAGCCAACAGCTCTGCTAACGTGGCCCTCTCCTCATGAGCAGGTGCTCTGACATCTCCAAGCTCTTTTCACACATTCCTCCCCACTGCCGTAGTTACATCCTAAATCTCCACCACGTGCTAGCAAGTGAACAATTGCCAGGGGCCRTGGAAAACCAGCTCGTGTTTGTGCGTCCAGAAAACAGCGCGCTCTTTCAGGGCACGGGGAGGTGAAGATGCCCAGGAACCCCCAAAATCACAGAGGTGTTTCAAGTATTTGGGTCTGTGAACAGCAGCAGTGGTGTTATGTGCACTGCTCAAAGAGCCTGCAAGCCTGGACAAAGCTTCTTGGGACACCCAGAGGCTCAGACACCAATCCTGGCCTGCAGAATGAATCACAGTTAATCGACAACCATCCTCCTCTCTGCACTGAAACACACAGGGGCAACCTTCCTACATACTGGGAAAAAAGAGAAAGGAAAGCATCCCCCAGAAAAAGCATCTTCTGTGGGTTTTGGTCACTATAAACATGGATTTGAAAGGACAACATCAGGAAAAGGCTCCCTACCTAAAAGTCATGCCTATATGCAAGATGCAGTAAAAGAATTCCCAAGGTATTTTCCTATCCATGAGGAAATCACCCAGACATGAGGAGATTTTCTGGTGTAAAACAGAGACCAGCRAAAAGGTAACTGAAATACAGCGTTTGAGAAACATTGCACAAATTTGGAATGGTATTTGAGAGTCAACACYGGGTGACACCTAACCCAGAAAAATGTTAACAGTACATTAACTGTGAGATGAATCAAGCCTGTTTCATTCACACAGTAAGTGGGAAGCCCCACTGAAAAGCCCTCTCCCTGTGCTTAGGGAAGTGGCAACCATTTATTATTTCCCAACCACTTAAGCACCAGGGGGGGGAAAAAAAAAGTACACATTTGAGATGACCAAGACAATTTTATTGCAAGACAGACAGAACGTGACTTGTTTGCCCAGCTGTTGTTTGCCCAGAACACTGGGCACCATTATCACCCCAGCTACTGTTGTAATTCGACATTTCCACGCAAACACCTCGACCTTTCAGTTTCACCATCCTCTTTGGGCAAACTCTGCTGAAGGGTAAAAACACAGTCCTGCCTCTGACTTCATGTGGCCAGAAACTCCTGACTCGAGAAGGGGACTGGGGAAGGGAAACACACTGGAAAAAGAGGGTAGAACTTTAAAAATAGAAATGCTGCTTAAATGCCRTAT